TTTGTTTTTGTATCAAAAGCCCACAGCAGTTACTCATCGTTGGATCACGTCCGACTAGAAGATAAATACATTCATAGTTTGCTGATATTTCGTTGCACTTTATTAATTCATATGTTCGAATCAACCTTTTTATAAATAAAATAAGAGCACAAATAAAACTTGATTACACATGCTGCATCGTCGAGCAAATCACAATTGCAGGCGCTATCCGATCTACTTGGAGACACCTAACAGCTTATTTCAACCAAACCCATAAACTATAGCTTTGAATGCGAGGTCAAACGTACAACAGCTCATTCTATCTGTCATATTACTCCTGTTCACAATAGGTCTTTTACATGAAGATTCTCATCAAAATATTTGTCAAATTGTCTGATCAGTACGTACCTGCCATACGATGAACTTGACTGATCTTCAGAATTCCTATTGTGAATAATGACTGCATCAAACAAATTTTTCGTTCACGGCTTTGATGGTGAAAGTGATGGGCATGATACATGAGAAGAGTTATTTGTAATTTTTTATGGGTATTAAAGAAACCATGTATGTCAGAGCAAGCCAATATTCCAAAAATATATTGTTTTAATGAATTGATGATGCTCAATTTCGAATTTGATCACATAATGTCGAAATCGCAATGTTCTGAGAGATTGTTTAGATAAGAAAGTAGACACCACAACTGGCGAATGACCAGGTGAAAGCAGAATTAACGCATTTAACACTCATACTGCAGCAGTGTTTGACAGCATTTGAGTGGTATTTGCTATGTGTTTTCGCTAGGGAAAATGAATTCTGGTTCAGTAAACTTTGCCCTCAGATGGCAAATTAGGAAAACTACATAATTTCATTTTCAGTATATCATATGCTTTATTTAGTTTAATTTAAATTCACAAACAAATGTTGAATTGAATTGAATTTGCCTTATTTTAACGTGGCGGACTCGGGCCATCAAGCCCGCTCTTTGCCTGTCTGACCGCCGCAATATTTTCGCCTACGCTCCTTTCACAACTAGCAGATGAGATAGGATTGGTAATTTCTTGGGCCGACGAAACAGGCGATTTTTTAATTTAGCTGATCAGGAGTGCGTGCATTAGACTTGTTGAGGATCTGTGTTACATGCAAGTAAATTATGAACAATGGAGCGCAGCGGCTTACTTCCCTCCGAAGGAAGGCGTACGAAGGATTTTTTCGCCCTTAAAATCCACGGCTTCGGATCGGGTTTGACGCGCCCACTTGGGTAACACAGTCGAGTACAGCTAACCGTTACACCATCGCCGCGCCAACCACCAATGTTCAATATATCTTTGGAAAATTTACACCCTGCATGCATCAGTGTCTTCCGATCGTAAGGTCTGTATTGGGCTCACGCCCAAAGTGAATAAATTAATTCTCTATCAAATATAGCTTAAATAACTCTATAATTCAAATGCCTCAATTGATGTTCCAAAACTATTTCGTTCAAACACAATTTCACAGCACTTCACATAAATATTCATTACAATGCAGAAGTTATTCAACATTATAGGTTTAACACTGATTTTAAATTGTCTTCAAAATTACATACCAACAGCAGTTTGTAATTCTTCATCCGATGGTAATGTAATTGCAGGTGAGGAATCCATTTTTTATCAAAGACATGGGACCTGCCTGCAAACATAAAAAGCAAATAAATTAGTCCAGAACAACCTACAGACTAGCACTAATTGATTTACTCAACAAGTATCCATAGTTACTCTTTTCCTCATTAACACAATTTATGTATGACAGTTTAAACAAATTAATGTTGGAAGTTTAGAAAACTATAATCATACATTAACAAGTCAAAGAGATTTGTTTACATTAAAAAAAATTTTCATGGCCTTTTTTCCAAGTCACTTACATATGTGTACAAAATTCAATCTCATAATATCAAAAGTTTAAAAGAAATAAAACAGTTATAAATGTTTGCTTTGAAATTTCTGGATTCAATAGGTTTTCTGTGATATTAAAATAAAACTGGCTAGATCCTTGCAAACATTCTGCACTTCGTAAATCATTGTTAGCGCTTCCCAGAATGTCTCTCCAGACAAAAGGGCTTTTCTTCTGTAACACTTCCTCTGTGCAACTAGTTAGCAAAACTACAAGATGTGGAGGAACTCAACCTCCATCAATACTATATCATATTCTGACAAATGATCACACTGTCTTTACAGCCCCTAAACTCATTGTCCCATTTGGTAACAGTGCCGTGAGGTGATAATACTGTAGTTACAGATGTCTCCCGGCATCTAACTTTAACAAAGGGTCTAGAGAAAAAAAAGGCACCCCATCAACGCAGCTATTAAAAACCAACTTTCAATGATCCTTAACGCAAATACTGAATTTGAAACAAATATAGAAGATGAGGTGAATTTAGGAACAACTTTAATAATAAGTTACACAACTGGTCCCCAAGGAAATCAATATAAACAATAAACTAAAGCCATGGATAACCGATGACATAGTTGGGTCAAATGCAAATGCAAAAACAAACTCTGAAATAAATATAAAAGAACAGACCTGGATACTCACTACAAAGACTACAAATATAAGTGTAATACTGTTAACAATGAGTTGAAACCAAAATGTCATGAATATGTACTAGCCATTGCAGTTGGGAAGAAAGCCATTATATTCATATATTCAACAACAAATATCCTTAAAAGTTGACATACTAATATAAATGAAGGGTAAACAATGAAATTATAGGCCCACCTGGAAATACATGATCAACTTAGCTTTGATGATACAGACAGAGAATGATGATGATGATGATGATGATGATGATGATGATGATGATGATGGACATAGTGTGTTTGGCTACTGATATTTACTATTTCACTACTAATTTTCACTATTATATTGCTGATATTACTATTTTATACTACTAATATTTACTGTTATACCTATATATTATATATTCTTTTTAACAATTTAGGCATAACCAGTGTACGGCTGCCTGTAAATTAATTAAATAAAGAAGAATTTCAAGTTGACTTTCAAACGTATTCATGAACACAACTAAAATCGAAACTTATGTGATTTTACTTTGAGTGCAAACAAAAGACGACTTTTGAACAAATCGGTTTTATAGACAAAAATTTCATGAAGTAAATGCTGACAGAAGTAGACTTTGAAAAGTTACAACTGAAACTATATTTTACACTTGGCAGATCAGTGTCTCAGGTTTTCTTTAAATTCTTAGTTGTTTTATGTGCAGATAGCAGGCAAAACTTCATGGGATTTTGTCAGTGCAACAGCTCAGTTATCCTGTTTATTGCGTAAATGGTGTAATTAATAACGTTGCGTTCATTTTTATGAACTATGAATCACACAGAAAAGAAAAAAATGACATTTTAAAATAATGTAGAAAAATAAATTTTACTAGAATTAAAGAAGAGAAACATCGAGGAAAACAGAAAGACAGCCAGCGTTTCATTAAAACAAAAATTCAAAGCATGGAAGAAATTAGCAAATAATTTTGTTGGGTAGGAAATACAAACAGGAGATAAATTGAAAAAATGCTAGAAACCTATTAAATTTAAGTTGAAACAAAGAAAGTGTATGATAGGGAAGAATGTCCACTGGAAGTATTCCAAAAATGATTCAGAAGATAATTTTGTAATGTTTGTGTTGGGCTTCATCTAAATCATGGCCCAGAAATGAAATTGAGAGCAATTAGTTTGTGGCGGAAGCCAACAGTGAAATGGAGGTGCTGTACGAATGCACAGAAGCAGAAAGTGTGACAGCAGAATCAGCATCATCATTGCAAGCTTAATACTTTCCTAAAAACAACAAACAGGAAAACACTTGCCTCAAAAACCTGAAGTGCAAAAGTATGGCAAAACCATGGGATACAGCTTTTAAGTTCCTCGAAATTAGAAGTGATGTAGATATAGAACCTTCACCATCTAAAGATGCAGCCAGAGAAAGATTTTCATTCTATAAAAATGCTAAAATGAAAGGAAAGTTCATGATTTAAAATTAAAACACATGCAAGGTTGGCACAAAATTAAGAAATTAAATTTGAAAAAAGATTGTGTAAATAGACCTCTTTTGCAGATAATTCATACAGTATCACAAAAAGATTATTATTTTCAATTTCTTCCCATCATGTTTACATAAGAGTATCATAGCATAATAAATACATTTGATACAAGCATTATTTTTACTTATTCAGTTATTATTTTAATGTTAACTATGGGGTCATACAGTGTCAAATCATCTCACAAAGTTGAATTTTCAATCTTACCATCCCAATGCTTTGTAAATAGCTATAATATTGATAAAAATCAAAATATGTTGATATTAAGTTTTATATTCCTATGTTGAGTATTTTCTGAGAAATAGGGAAATATGAGCATGGGCCTTATCCCGCTTGAAGCCTGAAAACTCAGAAAAATACTCGAACCATCAAAAATGTACATGGCCAACTCCAAAAATAGTATCTGAAGAAAAACTGAATACAGGACATTCTCTGCAACAGACATATCTACTATTAGATGTCTACGTACCAAGATTTTTGATTTTCAACAAGTCACTGTTACCAATTACGACATTATTTTATTGGTAGAAACAGTGCTAAATGAGGACTACACAAATCACAAATTCTATTTGAACTATGAAATTTATAGAAAAGATCATAACTACATCCACAAGAGGAGGAGTTTTGATTGCTGCCAAGGACTGAATCTAATACTCTATTATCCCAAACGTTTAACAACATATTGAGCAACTTTATGTCAAACTCTTTTCCTAACAAAGAACTCGTCCTAAGTTCAGTTTTCTTTTCACCTAATTCTTTTTACCACAATTATGTACATGATCTGTTATCTACAGCCAATATCCAAACATTCATTGGAAGAGGTTACTTTATAGAGCCCATACATCTCTGCCTTTCTCTTCAAAGCTATCGGTTATTTATGTTGGTTCTGCCTAATACTATTGCCCACCTAAATTTTAACTAACACAGTATTATAATAACAATCACAATTCACTACTGATCTTAATTTTTTCATTTTAATTATATCCAGATTTTTAAATCCATCAATTCATTATTATCAAGCGACAGGCACCTACTCTCTGTTTTAAATACCCACTGAATTTTAATCTTGACAATGATGTGAAACTACCATTTTTGTTCAACAATTTAATCATTGTGATTACAATTCTATCATTTATTATCTTATTAGAATATACTCAAAATTTCACTTTGACAAATACAGCACTGAATTTAAAGTATCGTTTTTTATAACTGTTTATATACTTTAATCAATCACTTTGTTCCAGAAAAAATGCTTTTTGTCAGTTCTTATTCACATTGGTACTCATTGAAGCTTATTGGCTTTATCAGAGAAAAAAAAATTCCACAAACTAATAGACCCAACTATTTGATCCAGAGGATTTCATTTACAGCATGTCCTATTCCACTCACATGCACATAAAATTGAACTATCTGCTTCTATCAATCCTTCATCTTTTTTAAGTTTATTAATATGTTTACTAAGCAGAGAGTTGCCTAGGGATTTGCTTCTGGGTACGAATTGCTGCAGCGCTTATTCAGAAATTGCCACCATTTTCTACTAATTTTTAGGAACAATATACCAAAAACAATTTTTAAAAAACACACACACACACACAAATCACAAGAAAGTTGTTTCTCAAAATTAAGTCTGATTCTCTTATAAATTTATAATCTTTATACAAAACAATAGCGCTTGCAACTCGTTTGTTATGATGCTTTATTGTATTTGTACAAATTGGAAAATAAGCTTCTAACTTCGCTCATTTTCAAAACATGTTCTCAAGCAACAAAAACTTAACATAATAAATTAATTGCATTTGCTAAATTGCATAAATTAATTGCTTTTTGTATTTTCATTATATGCATTCTTACCACAAAACCTATGTGATGTGTTTACTTTGCAATAATTATTTGTACTTCAAAGGGTATATTACGTTAATAAATAAAACAAAGTAATATAAACATTATAGAAAAACAATATTTATTAGTACACAAATATTTACTTTACTGATACAGTACAATGGTATTAATTTGAAGTCAGTTCTTTTAACTAAAATGTGTTTCAATGAGCTAGCGCCTACAAAGTCTCTGAACATTTGTGGTGCAGGTCAACAATCATAGTCATTTGTTTTATCTGCCGGACTGTTGAGGAGCAACGCAGTGGCCAACAACAACAGCTGCTATAATATTTACTTGCAGAGTACTCTGGAATTTTGTCTTCTAGCTTACGTATGATCTTTCTACAACATTTCTAGCGAAAGCATATTGAAAATTGTCTGTTGCCTCGGCTCAAGGTTGAAGGTTAAGAAGTTACTACCTAAAGGTGCCATATTTTTCATATTTTCTCAATTTTTCAATCCCCAAATAATAGAATTGAAGTAGTATGTCATTAAAAATACTACAGAAGAGAAAATAAGTCCTGTATGCAAATTTTCACTGAAAAATTTGGAGACATTCTTCAGAAAATGTCATTTGAAGCCATGAATGTCATCTGAGCTCATTTTCACAGAGAAGTTGTGTTTTTGAGAAACTTAATCAGAAATTGTTTGAAGCAATTGTGTACACAAATGTAATAATGTAAAGTAAATTACCACAATAATAACCATAAAGTAATAATTAACAGTGTAAGAGAAAAAAAGTGTAATTAAAAAAAAAATTAAAATCGTCACTAACTCTACAAAAAGTTAAAAGAAAAAAGCAAGTGGCATTTGTCATGTCATGTCATTTAGCACTAATCGTCCAAACAATTTAAAGAAAAGATTTGAAACCACTTTTGAAAATTTGCCCCACTTGAGCATTTCTGAAAACACTGAATTTTGAGCTAATTTTCATAGAAAACTTAAGTGTATTTCAGAAACTTTATTATCACAATTTGAAGTTTTATTTCTAACAAATGCAATTATGTATTCTAATTACCATTAATGTAAATATTAATGACATGAGAAAGATTGCAAAAGAATTAAATTTGTAAAATTTTTGAAATAACAAACCGAATACATCAAAATGTAGTTTTTGTTGTTATACAGTGCCTTTAGTACTAACCCTACCTACAGTTGGAAGAAAAAAATTGTAAGCAGTTTTTGAGAAATTCTTGTTTTTGATATTTTTTAATATTGCTCATATTTCACTGAAGTGTTCATGGGCATGATATTAATGAAAGACCTAATTATAGAGTACAAATTTCATTTGGAAAAAGAAAAAAAAGAAAAGAAAAAAAGAAAAAAAGAAAAGAAAAAAAGAAAAGAAAAAAGAAGAAAAAAACTATCTTCAATATTGTACTTGTAAGAAGACACAAAAAGAGTAAGTTTGGCAAATTTTAAAAAAATCAGGGATATCAATGAAAATGGCATCTGCACTGTCTCAAATATCGTTTATTCTACTCGAGAACAAGGTTTAATCAAAAAATTTGAAGCCATTTTTGACAAAAAGTTTGAAAATATGTCTGTGACTCACAAATGGGGGTATTATAAAGTGCCAAGTTAATTTAAATCAGTCATGGAATATCAAATTCGGAGAAAATCGGCTGAACAGTTTAGGAGCTAGCAAGGAGCGCAGACAGACATTTTGCTGTAAATCGATTTTTTTCTATCAAGGACCTATGAAACGTGGATTCTAATTACAAGTGCTAGAGAAAGTAATTTAGTACATCTAGTAACAAAATTTATCTCACTCAATCACTCTCAAAACTTTACCATTTTCTGCCAATACAGTACACACAATGCTTTCTCTTCTCACAAAGTGAGTACAAGGGAAAATGGATATCTATAAAATTCATTTTAACAAAATATTTACATTAATTTAAACATAGAGCACAACGGAACCACTATAATTGGGCTTAGCTCCAGTATATTTCTGCAGAAATCCACCAACATCCCCCACCCCAGTTTTAGATACTACGCTTTGACACCTTGATGCACATGCATCAATATCCCACTCCTTTACACTGCTGAGGTCTGTAGCTCCAGAGCACCTACTACTTACGCAGCTGACTCTGACCTATGGGACCACAGAGACACTTATAACTGATTTACATTTGGGAGCAAAAGTAGCTGACAGATGGTGAGTATATCATTCTCTGAGAACCCAATGGCTGAAAGTTTCCTATCTCTCCCTCCCGGCAGACCACCATCTCTTAAATGCCATTCCATGAAACAAAACATTGATGTCTGCACGTTGTGGTTTCAAGTCATGTTTAGGCTGAAGCTTTCAGTGTAGTGGTATGTCAGAACAGGACTTTTCCAAACCACTGTATGTCACCTGATATATGCCTCTCCTTCCCTTTCTCCCCCATCCTGGTTAGACATTTGAGACTACCTATGGGCAGGGGGAGTAGTAATGTGTTGTCAATTGGTCAATGAATCTAAGCATTCACACCACCTGACTATCATCTTTTATCCAAAACTCTTAATCAGTCCCAAATGTCACACACTCATTGGTCACAAGAACAAAGCCCCTTTAGATACATCCACAGAGTGAAGGTGTGGGAGGCTGATGCAACAGGGTGTTCCACAGGGTGCAAAAGGGCAGTTACAGAACAGAGGATGAAGGACATTAATATATCCTAACAGATGACATTATGTAAAATGATGATGAAATGACTATTTTTGTTTTCTATATCTTTAATACTTGGCTTCAGGCAGCCCTAGGGATATTCCTAAATGGATACTCATCTATAAATTTCACTATTTCATACTAATTCATGTTAATGGCATGGTTCTTCCATAATGCTCTAAATAAAATTTTAAAGTCAAAACAACTAACATCTGTTGAATGAGCACATGAATGTTTTCAGTCAAGATAATTGGGGGTTAACAATCATCAAATGCAAAGGGCAAAACATGAGGAAGCTTGCCTTTAAATACCCTAGGATGCTTTCTTGAATAATTTTTGCCACTTTAATTAGCATAATCTTTACAGTGTGACTATTAAATCTTCTAATCCTTAACTTCCTCTAAACCTTTACAATGTTTTGAATGTAGATATTTGCGCAATAGAAAATTTTTACAACTTACCCACATTTCATAACAAGAATAAAAAACAATCTGGTAATGTTTATTTAAGAAAGAAACAAAGGTAAAATGGACCACAATCTATCCTACTATTGGTAAAGAAATTATCAAAATTCTCAAGTGACCAAGAAAATGAAGTAAACACATTCTTGCAGCACTTGCAAACAGAAGAAACTTCAACAAAAAAATGAACTTCTTCAGAAGTTCATAATGTTAAAAGACTTGTCAATTCTAGTGGCTGAAAGTTCAACTTCAGTTTTGTATTTACTATTGTGAGCAAACAAGTAGATTGCAGATTTTTATATTTATTTAGTCACTCACTCAACTGTAAGTGGCATATGTGGGAGATCATCTGTGCACATTTTCATGAGTTCCGGAATTCCTTCCCATCATTTTAACAATAAATAGTTGAAAGATGAGTGAAAGGTAAAGATAAATAAATAAAAATAAAATTTAAAAAAGCACAAGATTAGTAACAGTTGAAAAACTAGCCATTTACATTCTCAAGTTATAGAAAAATTATAAGCAAACAGTAAATTAACTGCAGATACGATTTTTCTACATTGCTAACAAAATAGTAATTCGCCATTACCGCTACTCCTACCACTAAAAGGCAAAAGGAGAGTTCAACAAAACATGTGCATTAGTGAAGTTACATTTACATCTGGAAGCAAACCAAGGAGCCATCATGGCATTTGCTCAAGTGAAGGATTAAATTAGAAATATAGAATGTACCTACCTAAGAATGAAGTAGATTTCTTTTTGTTTGGAGCACTACCCACAACTGTCATCACATCATTCACAAGTTGATTATCTAGTAGCACAGAATTGTACAAGTCAGTCAATATCAACTAGTATTTGCTTCCAATAGTTCTGTCAATTTTCCACTAGTCTACACCAATGCCTGCAAATAGACAGAAAAGTAATAACTACTTTGGTGGCATAACAATGAACAATACACTTCAATTACAATCAACAATTACCATCTAATTCAATCAACAGGTAAACTCAGGTCATTATACAATATTACATCCAGATTTAAACATGACACTAAGGAAAAAATATAACCGGAAAATCACAAAGGACTATCAATCACGAAGCCTTGTCAAAAAATTGACGATATTACAGATCTTATAATTGCCGACAATCATTAATCTTGATAATTATAAGCAAAATCTTACACAAATTCGTAATTGAACTTCAAAGTTTATATTTCCCATTCATTTATTGTTGACCCCAAAGCCTAAGTACATATACTAGCCTCCAACAGGGCCCAAAGCTACTTTATCACATTGAAAATGAAACGTAATTCTCCTAACCATTAGTTGTAGTTTACTAAATTCTCCAAGAAGCAAATTCGAAGTAATTGGACAGCATATATATTTTCAAAGAACACTGTTAATGTAGTTCTCGATCCTTACTTCGCTCTAGTATTTCGCATCTCATAAAAATCTTTCCAACCAATCAGCAGTCAACGGCGGGAAATATAGAAGTATACCACAGAATAATCAAAATAAAATTTTCATGGAATAATTGAATGCATTTTTTTCACTTGGCGGTATTCATTCTACACTTTGCGTCTTGAATTCAATTTCTTGCAACAAAGAAGTTGCAAAATATTATAAATGGCGGCCCATAGTCAGGAAATAGATTCACACGAACTAATACGGATAATATTTATTAACTCTGTTGTATTAATAGCAATCACAGACCATATTGGGTCTCTTTGCGCATGCGCAATCAAAACTAGTGTATAAGTCCACAATATTTACAGTAAGGAGTGCAGGCGCTATATCCATATTAGTTCGTCCTCTCGCCATCTCTGTAGCCAAAGACCAAGAGGGACTTCAGAGTCTGAAGTTCAGACCTGCTTTGAGACAAACAAACACTTCGTATGAGTGGAAAAGGTCTTAGAGATGTCCGTCCATAACACGTGACTTTTACAGCTTCTGAGGCAGGAGGAGACCCGTAAGACGGGCTCATTCAATGACCGGGTCAGAAAATGTAATTCGTGACGTCAAAACCCAGACGTTCACGTAACCCCAAGTGATGCGTTACAATCGCTAACACCCGCGATTTTCAAAATTGCCCTTAGCAACCATTAAACTAATTATTCTAATTGACCTCCATAAAAATACAAAATCAATTTTTTAAATAGGAGTTTCACGTGCTTTAGAAAGAGGGTACGGCTGAAAAAATTAACAAAAATACACACGTTTTAATACCACTGTTATTTATTTTACATTATTTTAATTACAAAGTATTTTATTTGTATTTATTACAATCCCAAAAGAAAATACATCACACTACATTATAGTTCATTGAACAATGATAAAATCCTACCTAAACTTAAAGAATTAATTTGCATTATGATATTAAACTAAGTCTGAAATACAATGGAATGTTTCAATATATGATGGGAGAAGTTTTTCAGAAAAACAAATTAGTACCGTGTGGCAGAAGTTACGTCAGGCGAAAATAGTATTAACAATTTTTTATGATTTTCTGTCCTTGATCCATAATAAAATTTGCAAACATAGATAATCTGTTTTGAATTTGCTCACACTCCTTTAGGTGGCAAAAACATTATGTCAATGCCATATGTCAATATTTTGTGAGAAAAGCTGCATATTTTAAAGATTTCTGGGCAGATTTCACATTTTTGTGGCATATTGGTAGGCATGATTTAAGGCTAAAAGCTTGTATAAACTTGCCAGCTGGAGTGATAAATTATAAAGCGCGTTAAAGTTCTTTGACAACATATTAAGAAACTAATGGTGCTACAGAATGGCAAAGACTTTCCCGTATTAGTTTTTATTTCCATTGTTTTCGGCTAGCTATTCTGTCCAATCTTTCCATAATTGAGTACCTCAATCAGTATCAATGGACCTTCGTTGATCAATTCTACATTTATGATCCCCCTACCTGGCGCTTTACCGAGTTCATTTTCAGAAGTGCGTGTTATACTTCTTTTTTTGTAATTTTTTCAATATTTTTATTTTCCGGGCTCATTGAGTTCCCTGTCTGTTCTAATAAATTTTTGTATGTCTGTTGTTAAGACATTTTTATAATATGTTCTTCATTTATTCATATCTATGAGACTAAGACCCACTGTGTCTTTGTTCTTCTTCCTCATTTCTTTCAGAATACACAGGTTTTATTAGCTCGCGTCTTTCCTACACATTTATTAATTTCTTGACAGTTATTTTGCCACATTTCATTTTTTATTTTAACTAATTTTTGAGTTTCTTTTTTTACAATATTCATTTCTCTCCTCTACAGCATTCATTATAAGCCACGTTTTGTGCGAATTATTTCCTTCAACTAATGTTTGTATATTTTCATCTATGGTTCTGTGGATATAGATTTCAAGGGGAAAATTAATTATCGTATCATGCACTACGGCTTTGAAAGTATACGTTGAGTGCTTTATTTTACATTCCAGAAAATCGTCGGCGTTTATATTTAACAAATCGTCCACGTCCTGGCCGAAGCGACCTGGAGGGCCGAAGGGGGGTAAGAAGTGAGAATGGAAGTAGGTTTGTGCTATTGGCACGTAAACAGAGGGAGCGGTGGGGTGCGTGCATATTCCATTATCAATAAACCCACACATTACAGTAAACGCAAATGCCTGACATTAATTCACATTTTAGAATAAATGCATTTTTCTCTATAACTGATAGTTTCAGTTATAAGTACATAAGTTCCATTTTGACAACCCTGGTGTTGCAATCTAGCAACCGACAGCTCTATCGTAAAGTTGGATGTTTTGAGGTTATACGTACTCGGAACGTTTTGACATACGAGCGCTATTTGGGTTCTTCACAGTAACTTAAAAGATTCATCTTGGCCCAAAAATGGAATTAAATCGTGAACATTTTCGTGCGATTATTTTGCACACCTTTCGACGTGGATTAACTCTGCAACAGTGCATGGATGAACTTAATTCAATTTTTGGAGCTGAATCTCCATCAAGGACCAGTGGTTATCGATGGTATGGTGAATTCAATCGTGGTCGTAGTTCACCCCAAGACTAATTTCGCGAAGGTCGTCCAAAATCAGTTGTTGTTCCGTAAACCATTGATGCTGTGCGTGAACTGACATTGCAAGATCGTCATGTGACCTATCGTGAGATTGAGACAACCTTAGGCATTAGTGGGATTAGAATACATTCAATATTGCATGAACATTTGACTGTCAAAAAATTGTTCACGTTGGATCTCACACAATTTGTCAATCGCTCAAAAAAAGGCTCATGACGATTGGTCGAAAGAAATGCTCAAAAAATACGATCGCGGTGCTTTGAAACACAGTCGTGTAACCCGTCGAATGTCGGAAATACGTTGAAGACGAAATTAATTGTTCACCTTATAGAGATTACCACTCATCTAATCAACTTTCTCTGTCCGTGAAAGTTGACAAAACCATGGATATGGACCGGACCTCTAATAATTAGTCTGGCGTTACCTCACTCTAGGGGAAATGCGTGTTCGCGGGCCGTAAATGGTGCCGTCCAGGCGACGACCCATTGCATGAAGGCGCGCGCTCAGCAATGCAGCAGCCACGTCCTCACGCTACTGAAGTGAGGACGGTTGGCAGCGACCTGCGACCATTCACGTGGCGAGGTTGACGAAGTAGAAGCGCGCCGTGCGAGGCCGCGAAACGGCACCACCTCCCCGAGTCAATGCGGTTGGTATAGCTAGCCGCGGCCTCAGCAGGTGCCGGTATGTCTTGTCCGCAAAACGGAATTAATTCCGATTCAAAATTGGCATGTAATCGGACAGTCCACACGGGCAGGTACTGGACAGTCGTATACTGCCGAATGATTGTCGATTAACTTATTAGTTGCCAATATGTTCCGGTGACTGCGCTCGCTCTTGGCAATCGAGCAAATTTCGCCAAGTTTCACGATGTGACAGAGGTCAGAAGTGTTGTTGCCTCCGCCGCCAAGTCACCACTCTCCCTTCTAGTTGTGAAGTCGCCGACTAATATTGAAGTCAAGTTTCTGACCTGAAGTGCCTTTTTTGTTCCCTGCCCGTAGCTTCCTCGCCATGCTATTCCCCACTTCTTCAAAAACCCGTTGCTCGATCACGTGTGTGATATTTGGCACGTTTTGGCAATGCTCGCATATTCTGGAAGCTTCAACGGTTGATTGTACGTGGATTGGACAGAGGCCATCCCTCCACTAATGACCGACTATGCGCTTTTAATTGGCCGTGTTTGTGCACCCACGGGCGCCAAGTGGAAATAGCGGGCGCGTCAGCAGTCAGTTGCCTGATATCGCCACGATCGAATTATGGCACGACCTCAGGGATTAGTGAACTGAAGGCTACCGAATTCCCTTAATGTGTCTTGTCACGGTGCTACAACTGATATCCGAGGAGAGCAAGGGTTGTAGTGGGCGGTGGGTGTCATTCTTCGGCTTTGAGAGGTGACGCACGGGGCAGCCCGCGGGAATACCCTTTGGCGGCTTGAGCTGCTTAAGAGACAGTGAGCGACGGGGTTTGACACCGCCAGTTCCCGAGTTTTTTTTTATTTCTGGCCCTCTTTACTACACGCGTGCGTAGCGAATTACCATGAGGAGGCATAATTAGCGTGACAGATGAGTTCTGGCACGCAAAAGTGCGATCTCTTGATACGTCGCAATACAGAGTGAAGGTAGAGAGAAAATATTACATATTTTGCTTGTGTATGTAATTTGAATTTGGATTTAAGAAGTATTTATAAACGTAATACAAGAATACTACCTTCTGATGGAACTAAACAAAATGTTCTACAGACATGGTATCCTTAACAGGCAGTTTCTCTTTGGATTTTGCGAAGAACCAGATTGCTTCACACTACGATTTCTCCGTTGGAAATGTCTGGGATGTGGAAAATTAATGTTTAATAAAAGTATTATTGCTCGCAGTGTTCTCTAGAAACCATTCATTTTTTAAAATATTTTTTGTCTTTGGTGACGGAAACAAAGTAACTAAATTTGGTGATGCGACCGCGCATACATTTATGGTTATTTGATTAGGTTAATATGTTAACGTAAAGGAAACTAACGCGTTTTTAACGAGAGAGAGATATAGGGACGAACCTCTCTCATTATTCCACTCCTCTTGTTCTGAGAGCAGCACCGTAGCCTCTGAGTGGTAAGTGGTCGATGCTGGTATCTTATACGCCGCAAACTAATGGTTTTAAAACGATATATGATACGATTTTGTTTTGGTTCGTCGAGATCATACTTCGTTGGAGGTTTTCCTCTGCATATAATAGTTTTAAACGGTTTTGTTTTGTGAAAGTACACATGTTTGCAGTGAGGTGTCATGATTTTCTCTCAAACATCTTTTTCTCTAAGTTTCCGGATAAGCAAGTTGTGTACGGTACTGGACTGAGGCAAAAAGGGACGAGAGAGTCAGAGTACGCTTTTTTAGATTTCCAACCGTGCTCAGAAATTAGCGATAGTAAAATTGTAGCACCCTAGGAACAAAGATGACAAACTTGGATTTCTGTGCTGACGCGAGAAAAGTTAGATGAGTATTTTAAGTCAGAAGTGGCCACTTACATATATCAACATCTTGTAATGTGCAGTTTACACGTCTAAACATCTAAAAATTTTCTGTAATTCTTAGGTGTTTCACAGGCAAACGTAAGTAGATTTTGTACTCGCTTCCTCCAAAAGGAACCTACATCACTCCAATGCGAGCAGTGCCAAATCTGGGTGTCTGGATGGACGACTGCAACTTAAATGCACACGAGCAACAGACAGCGAAGACAGCAAAAAAAGGCAGTAACGCTGGCCAATCGGATGCCCAATATTGAATGTCCGAATACCCGTAAACGTAGGGTCTTAACATGTGTAGTAAATTCAACAAACCTTACCAGCGTGGTACATGGCCTTGACACGAAAGAAAACGTCTAAATTTTAGAAAGCATACAGGGAAAGGTCCTACAGAGGGTGGCATGAGGGTACCGAACT